TCTCTCATATTCATTTCTTTCTTTCTCTCATATTAATATTTTTATCTCTCATGTCTATAAAAAATGATCAAAGACAGTATAATAGATCTTATTTTTCTTGCATTATTAGGAAAAAACATCAACCAACATCATAAACATCTTAACTTAAGTAGTCGGTAATAACATATGGTCTCCATATAGTCAACTATGTTCTTAAATAGTTAACTATACAATTTTATATAAAATATAATAATTAACTGTTTTGAAAAGTTAAATATGCTAATAAATATGTTATTAGAATAGTTAACAATTTTTACTATAAAAATTCTTGACAAATCTAACTTATCATGACCTAAATAGATAAAATTATACTAAAAAGTTGACTATACTACCAAAATATAGAAATAATTGACTATCTTGAAAATAGTTTATACATTTCGAACATTACAAATATACCAATATTTTCGGATGTATAGTTAGCTATTGAGAAAATTACAATATAGTTTATTATTTTTAGAACAATGTGGGCATATAATAATTTACTATTTTTAAATAGTTGACTATACTACAAATATTTCGAAATAAAATATGTGTGTATACATAGTTCGAAAAATACCCAATATACCAACTATTTTTCAGATTTATAGTTAACTAGTAAGAACATTACAATATAGCCTATTATTCAAGAATTCACTATTTCTAATTTTTGTAGTTAACTATTTTTAGAATATGTTTAAATGTTTTACGAAGTATAGTCAACTATAAAAAATTTATAAAATAACTGTGGGATAAATATATAGAAGGAGTACAATATTATTTTTTAGATAAAAAAATTCATAAATTCTAATACAATATACAATCAAACAAATATTTATTTTCTCTTTCCATAATGTCAAGACTTTTTTGGAAAGCATGCTTATATAGAAAGAGAAAAGTTAATAATCGAAGAGTAAATTAGTCAACTTTCTTTTTTCTTTGCTATACACCTAAATTTAGTTATGCACATGTTTTTCCCTATATTATGTATCCCAAATGTGATATTTTACTAATTCACCCTTGGACTACAATATCATACGAATATTGCAATAAAAATATTATACGATTTTATCCAAACTATATAATTTTTTTTATTTTACGTATAGTGCAAGTCGATACCTAATACTAATATTGAAAGCACCACCCTTAAAAACTTTGAATGACCTAATGAATGAAAATAATAAATAACCAAAGAAAAAGAAAAATTTATGATCAATTCTAAAAAAGTATAATAACCTTTTGTTCGATTTAATAGCTTAACAAAATATCTAGAGACAAGAACATGTAAATTGGTCTTTAAAAAAAAAGAATTAGTCTTCTTTTTTTTTTTTGCACATAAAATTGACCTCATATTATCTTTTATTCTTTTTCACAAGCTCTCCTATCGTTTTGAATATTACATAAATCTTCCAATTTTCGCATGTCATTTTCAAAACTGCGAGAGATCGATGTTCGAGAAGTAAAAACAATGAGTATGAAAAAATGATCTCAAGTGGAGTCACATCTCTCTCTCTCTAAAGGAGATAGCGATATACTTCCATTCTAAGATGAATTGTCCCTTTTGTTATAACATCTGTTTGATGTTCTTGAAAGCCAAACATTTTCGGAAAAAATAGAAATTATTTCATATAGTATTTGTAATTTATTTATTTATTATTTTACAAAATTAGTATCATAAAAATTATGAAATTTTTTAATTAATTATTTTTTTTTTAAATTATGTGAATGAGTTGAAAAATTGTATCTGAAGTAACGTACAAAAAGACAATAGTATTTTGCCATATTTTCACTCATGACTTGGTTGTAATAGCTCAATCGGTTAAATTTAAAAGAAAAATTTGGGAGAGATACACAAATTTTGATCTCATTTCTCAAAAGACATGATTAAAGAAGACTAATTTAACATGTTATGGTCTCCGATTACAGAAGACTAATTTAATATCAACTGCAGTGATAATTTTTAGTTTATATATATGAAAAAGATGTTACAATCGCCATTGAGATTTTGATTAAAGGGGCAATTATAAAAATGCCACGTTTTGTGTGCACATTTGCAAAAATATCATTTAGGGGTGTCCATTTACAAAAATGCCATTAATTATAAATTTATAAAGCCTATATCTTAAAATTCTAAATCCTAAAAACTGTTTTGACACATAAAACCCCATAAACACTCAAAACTAAACCCTAATAGAACATAATTAATCCAAACATAAATAATATAAAAAAATAATTTTGAAAAAGTGGCATTTTTGTAAAGATTTCAAAAGTGTGGCATTTTTGTAAAGTGGCATTTGAAAAGTGGTATTTTTTGAAATTTCTCTTGATTAAATTGGTGTGTGGTGAGTCAATAACTTTAATATGTTTTAATCTAGTGATGTGAACACTCTAAAAAAAATATATACATTTTTCAAGTTAATAATATAATTTTTTGGTCATTACCGATTTAATCTTTCATCAATCATCATTTTATATTGAGAAATTTAAAAAAATACCTCTTTTCAAGTGTCACTTTACAAAAATGCAACACTTTTGAAGTCTTTACAAAAATGCTACTTTTTCAAAATTATTTTTTCCTTATATCATTTATGTTTGGATTAATTATGTTCTATTAGGGTTTAGTTATGAGTGTTTAGGAGGTTTTAGGGGTCAAAACATTTTTTAGGGTTTAGAATTTTAAGATATAGGTTTTATAAATCTATAATTAGTGGTATTTTTGCAAATGGACACCACTAAGTGACATTCTTGCAAATGTGCACACAAAAAGTGACATTTTTGTAATTGCCCCTTTTATATTTTGCTTATAGTTACCTATCTTTTAAATTTTCTTTTCAAGAGTTTACTACACTTTTGTTTTTACTATATCAATTAAATATACTTGCATTTGAAGTCTTTTAAATCATTTAATTTATTATTGTCAAAATTAAATATAATATATGGTTAAAATATATATTTTTAATTATTACTTTCTCTACACTTGAAATTATATTTAGCTTTAGTTCTCACAAAATTTTAATTGATAAATTCAATAAAATATGGAACAATTAAATATGAT